CCATTGCTGTTAGGTCCGGTTGGAGGCCATCGCTGTGAGGTTGGAGACCATTGCTGTGAGGTTCAAGACAAATTTCATCAAATTTCCTGCTCTTTGCGTCGCCAAGGCGCTGTCGCTCTTCGCCCCAGTGGCCTTCGCTTTCACCGCCGTGGCGGCCGCCTGCGAAAGGCAAACGCCCATGGCGATCGACCGGGTCCAAGGCCGACGATCCGTGGACGAAGCGGGGCTTTGCGGACTGTTCCACCTTACCAGTGGGCACCGCTTTGCAAGGTTTGCTTCCATAGCCACATGATCATCAAGAGGGTTCACACTCCGAAAAGCGTTGCATTTTCAACTTGGTTTGGACGGTTACGGCATTGGTCGGAAACTCAACACAACGGAATGCACCTTGTCAACGAGCAACGAGTACAACGAGTGCCATGCGTGTCGGGGTGAACCGACAGTGGCCAGGGTGTGCACTTGCCTTGAACGCGCTGGTGGCGGCCTGGGGCCTAGAGGAGCAAATCGATATGGCCTAGGGCCTAGTGTTGTCCTAAGATGGTCTAAAATCCAAGATAGGGTACTGGAATGATTCAGGATAGAGACTAGGATACTCATTAGCATCATTAGAAAGGGTAGAAGCCTGTAGAATACTCCTTGCTATAGAACGTTCTCCCAAGAAAGTACACTGTTTAGCAAGGAAAGGAGAGGCCGGACGATTGGAGCATACGAGGACGCGTTGACAAGCGGACAAGCCCCTTCCAAGTCTTTTCCTGATAACCCGTGGCTTTTCACGCGAAACCTCAGCCTGGACCACTTGGATCATCCACAAACCCTGCAAAATGTTGATTCAGCAAAGCCGTGCAGGTAACCTTGAACATCGCTTACTCCCGGCTCCTGCCACTCAGCTCAGCGAAGGGCTGGTCGACATGTTCTCCTCTCCACGCCTTCGTAATGTATCAACCAAGGAAGGTGGCAAGTCCTGTGACCTTCACCGTCTTTGGCACGGCCAAGGACGGGATCGGACTTGTCTGGGGCAATCAAGCAGCTTTTCACTGTCACAGACTCCAATAATCAGCAAAGTCAAAAAAGATGGTGGCAGCCGAGGCCAAGGTTTTGAATGATTTGGGATTGTTTGATACCCTTCAGACCCGCTTTCACCAGGATGTGACGACTGCGGGCCTGTCGTTGGACATGGTTGGTGGGACAATCACGCCTTTGCAGTTGTGCGGCTACGCGACCACACTGCCACTAGTCCGAAAGCAAATGGCGGCATGTTGATCGAAATGCTCGGCTTTTCAATATGGGGTTTTTGGCCAAAGTGTGCCATCTAGGTGGAGGCCTTTTCACACACTCCCTGGTGGACTGTTTTGCTTCCAAGCCAAGACAACACACCTTTGAAGCCTAACGGAGGTCTTACACTCCGAATTCTCTGAGCTTTGGCATCTCCCGAAACACAGGTTCGGCATGGTGTACTATGACCGCGTGAAGCAACTCCAGTGAGGTTTCACGTGCGTGAAGCGCTGGCCAAGCTGAAGGTTTCGCCAGGTGAAGTCCGATTGGGTTGCTAAAAGGGCGACAAAAAGAAGGGAAAACGTCCTCAGGCAGCTTAGAGCCAGGTCAATATAGTGGTGCAGTGCTGAGCTGGGAGCTGGTAGCTGGGATCTCGCTTGGTTCATGGTGGGGACCCTCCAATGGCGGTTCCCAACTCCAGTGGCTAGATGTGTTGAGAATTTGGTCAAGATTCGGCGACCTGCCCAAAGCCGTTACCGACCACCGCAGCTTTTCAATTGCAGGAGCTCTAGATGATCGAAAGTGTCCAAGAGCGAGCAACAACCACAGATAGACCATGATGCACTCCATGCAGCTCTCTTCAGACCATCCACTTCAGTTCTCTTCAGACCATGGTTGACCATCTCCACAGCCAATGCCGTGACAACCCCCAGAGCTCCTGGCTGTTTTCGGGAGTTCCGATCTCTCCCGAGCTTGAACGCCGGAGACGGATGGAGGCAGTTCCGGAGCGACGATATGCGGGCGGCGGGCGTGAACGTGTGGAGCTGTTTGGGGTCGGGCGGTTCCAGTCAGAGCGAAGGGGTCTGATGGGTTTTGATTCGCACAATCCATAGTGAGAGAGACACTCTGAGCTGAGAATAGCCCCATGTGGATCAACAGATGAGGAAAAAAAAGAAAGAAACAAGCTCCAGTCTTGTCCTTGATCTAGTCAGATAGACTATCGGGAGATGTGCTTGGAAAGGGGGATCTGCTTGCAGAATGAATAGGGCCTAGAGTGTTGATTTGTGAGACTGATGCCATGCGCACATGAACTTCAGAAGATGAAGATCTCTGGTCTTCATTTGCCAGAAGAATCTCAGCATACCAGGCCTTGTGGGGGAGCCTCGCCCACTCAGCGGGGACAGATCCAAACCATGTGCTGCAGGTGGAGCAGTATCCTCGTGACAGGCCCGTGCGTGATGGATGTTTAGCAGAGGTTTGGGTATTTGTGTAGGACAGTCCCAGTGTGGCGGTGCTGGAATTGGGCAGCACAAGAAATAGTGAACGAAGGGAAAGCGAGGAAGATTTGATGACTTGCCTGTCCTTCTTGCCAATGCAGAGAGCTGTGAGTAGAATTGCTTTGATTTTTTGGCCTTGTGCCGCTCATTTCCCAGGCTTTTCCAAAGTTTGAGTGACACGTCTGCATGCTGCGAGGCTTCTCTCCCTGAGGCGTTACGATCCGACCCTGATTTGCATTTGGGGCTTGTTTTCGCAGTTAGTAGGTAGGGCCAGGTAGGGTTGACGCGGGGTTCCATCAATTTCAACTTTTGGCTTCGTTCGTGGTAGATGGTCATGAGCGTTTAGCGACTTTTCTATGACATCACTTCGGTATCCCGAAGGGGATGACCTTTTGCTCAGCCTCAGCGATTCCAGGAGATAGTCACCTGAGATAGTCACATAGTCCTAGGCTGATTTCCAACAGACTCCCAGTCTGAAGCTGTGTCTGAAGCTGATGGGCCACAACTCTTGTTGGTCACAACTCACAGCAATGAGAAGCAGTGGGAGAGCTTAGTCTCAAAGCATCGCGAGCTTTAGGACCAGCGTAAGTGAGCTGGCCATCTCGTTGATCGCAGCTGGGTGGCCCAGACTCGGTCTGCGTGGGAAGTCCTGAAGTGGTTCTTCAGAGAGACAGGAATTTCTTTGGGGGGACTCTTAGGACATGTCGTTTCCACGGATTTCAAGACGCTTAGAGGGTCTGAATTAGATCAGGTTGCTTGAAGAGGATAGGAGTTGTTTTCTTTCAAATTTTCAGAAGCCCAGGGCCCAGACCCATTTTTCATGTTGGTAAATATAAGCGGTTCTCAAAATCACTGCAGAAGACATTCAACCAAAACTCTTCGGGTTTTGACTGGTCTTCACCAGGTCACCATGTATGGAAGATTCGGCCAACGTTTACTTTTGGCTCATGGGTTTTTAGCATGTTCCGAACATTTCTATTCTTTGTGCTTCACGGGAATGCAACACACACACACACATGCTGTAACAAAACACAACACTCTGGGACAAAAGAACAGCCAAGGCGAAACAGGCTGGAGTTACTGGACCGAAGACTAGCACGCACTTGCAACTGGCTACCTATCCCTTGTCTGATGCCAGAGCTCCCAGCTCCATGTTTTGAAAACAAGAACATCTCACTTTGACTTGACAGCGGAAATGATCTTCCAAGACCGTTCGTGGGCCGCGTTCCTTGGTTGATCCTCCAATCGCTCAACACTTCATGTCAGGCGCCGACGAGGCGCCGAGTGCGGACTGGCATGGTGAGGGCTGTTTCGGCTGTCAGGTGTGTGGCTCTTCGGTGCAAGGTCAATTTTCCATCAAGTTAGACTGTAAAGATAGATTGTGTAGAATTCAGGGGGCGAAGGACAGACAGGCAAACTGAGGAACCATTGCAATAGGTGGTCTATCATCAGTTCAATTGTGGATTCGACTGGTTCACAATGTCTTTTGAGGCAGTCAATAGGGCTCGAGTAGCACCTCATCGTATGTGCATTTTCCAAGCCTTTCTGCAGTGCGCAAGACGACAAATAGAAGGGCCAGAAAAGTGACCTCTATACAGTTTCGTTCCGGAGCTTTCGCTGACTCCTCTGACTGAACAAGTCCAGCTAATGGTATTGTAAGATTCACGGCCAATCAATCCCAGTTGGTGATCGGTGTCCAAATGTTCCCAGTTCTTAATCTACACTTGCAGGTCAAAGAAGAGTGCCAAGCCAGAGATACAGGCACAGCTAGTCAGGGCTGGTCAGAAGAGTGAGCATCTGGACGGATGAGAGGTTTTTCGGCGAGTCGTTTGTGCCCTGACCTTTTCCAACTTCAGGGCACTTCGACTTACTTCGCTTCGACCCCTTTGGGCCCTCTTAGAGAGATGGCCTCCAATCCACGGTCCATATTTTTGCATGTTTTTGCATGGTTTCCAGTTTTTGTTTTGAACAAGCACCACCTGCTTCAGCCTGAATTGAATCTCTGCAGCGGAACTTGACATAGATTCATCAAGAACTCCATTGAGGGTCTATGTCTTCCAAGTTCTTTCCCAGTTGCACTCATAGGTTGGTAAAACCCTGACTGGGCCACCATCATCGACTGACAATGACCCTCGCAGATGGTCAGGGTCCTTCTGGGCCACAGGAACCTGCCCCAGCACAAGCAGCAAAGGGCGCTGTTGAAGCGCGGACCCCTGGACGATGGTTGGTCTTGAAAGGAGGCCTGGCCCCGGTCACACGGTTTTTAATTCAGATTTGTACGTTCAAGTCGGGTGCAGGGTTCCCCTATTTGGGGCACACCGACCTTGTATTGTGATCCTATTGTGATCCATTGTGATCCTTGTGAGCCAGGAGCATTGCCTTTGTAAAGGTCAGGGATCCAACTTTAGGTGATGCCTTTTCTTGATCCATTTGTGTGAGCCGCCCCTGATTTGAAACCAAGAAATTGAGCATTGCAGATGAGCCGAATGAGTACTTCCGCAACTGGGAAACACCTTTTTGTATAGCCGACGCCCTGTCCGTGTGGTGGCTAAGGCGCCCTTGAGCTATGGGCAGGCCAGCTTGTGTGGAGATGGGCAATTATTTCATTTCATGGCCTTAAAGTCGTCTTGACTATCTTGGCTGTCAGCATTGCCACGGAGTCCACCGACAGAGCTTGTGACACGGGGCTTCCGTCAGCCGACACCAGCCCGCTAAACCGGGGCAGGGGACTGCCGAAACCTGGGATGTTCTCGCTCCATCTTTCCGAAACCAACAACAAGCTACTAGGGGCTCCTGGCATCGCTACGAACGGAGCAAGGACGCTACGAACGGGGCTCCTGGCCGTACTACTAGGAGCATTCTTGCTACTAGTAGAAATGTCTACGGCGTGGCATCGCTCCCGATCTGACTCGACGTGGCCGGTGTGGCATCGCTCCCGATCTGCAGGTGGAGACTGGCTTGAGCGGCTTGCCAGGCCCGATCAGATCGATCCGTCGGACCAAAAGAATGATCGATCCGGGGGGTTTCATGGTGGGATGAGGCTTTGAAAGTGGATTCCAAGATTCCAAAAGAGTATTATAGTCGATTCTCTTCCCCTTCTTGCTGCTGTAGGACTTGAAAAGTCTACTGTTGGGAGGTTTGTAAAATGATGTATAATGAGATCTTGAACCATAAGTCTTGTAGGAATGTTCAGAGTCTTTGGTCCAGAATCCTTGTCCTTTTTCTGTGCCTTCAAGCTGTCAGAGCTGCCCCTTCTGCACACGGAGTGTGAACCGCTTGCCGAGAACGCAGCATTCCACGCTCCAAGGATACCCTAGAGGGCTCCTTCCCGAGTGGGAGGCGTCCGGACGGCCCAGCCTGCGGAGACGTCGCCGGTTTCAAGATGCAAACTGGAACAAGGCAGTTAGGTTTTGGAGGTGGTCTCTGAAACTGATTGTTTTTTCATGATTTTAAAACCTCTCTTCCCTGGTGGTGCATTGTTCCGGTTCTACTTGGCAGTGGAAAAGCATCACCAGGAAGGCTTCTGCAAGGCAAACCTCCCCCCCGAATCTTGCGCTGGCTGCTAGCGGGCCAGTCTTAGCGCTGCAGACGTTTGACCAGTTTGACCCACCGTCGTGTTGTTGGTGTTTCTTGAGTGTTGGAGGCCATCGCTATTGGGTTGGAGGCCATTGCTTCTCACTGCGCCTACCAATTCGGTACTCAGGCCCCCAACCGGTGCACCTCCAGGTGGGGGGTGGAGGATTCGGTGCCGCGGGAGGTGGCGATCGTCATGGCGGGTTTGGGGGGGGGCTGCCAGGTCTCTGAAAAGAATCTCCGGGGACCTGGTGGAGTTCATTCATGCTCGATCTACTCTTTCGTTCTTGGACAGATTCTAGACTATTTATGATATCACCAAGGAAGTCATGACGATCCACTCGCATTCCAAGCCACGAGCCGAAGAAGACTCCAGTTTGCTGGTGGACCTTGCCAGGCTTTGCGTTCGATGCGCCTCCCAGCAGGTTGGGATCTGAGAGGGTGGCTCTTCCATGAGCAAAGAGAGGTTTGGGGTCTTCCCTCAAATCCTCTCTCATGGGAGAGAGGC